AAAAATCAAAACTAATATGCATTAATCTCTTAAAATATTTAATTCTTTTAATTAAAATTAATAATTAATAACTATGTGTAAATCTCCTAACCAAATACCCCTCACACTTTAGCCATGTTTTTGTTTTTTCAGTAAGTTCATGATGATTAAACTTTTTCCTTGGGCCATAACAAGGGAAAAGAAAAAAGTTGGATCTTAAAGGCCTTTCTAGTTCCTATGGACCAATGTGAGCTTTCAATTTTCAAGGATGTGAAGGCCCAACAGAGTCAGATCACCAATTTGCAATCCATCAAGGAAAGGTTTTTTTTTTTTTTTTGGCCACGGGTTCAAGGTGCTGAATCTGATGGAAATCTGTCCCAACAATCCTAATTAATCCAGATAGGTCCCTCTGATAATTTCTATTTCAAGATTCAAGTGAAACAAACACGGGTATTTGAAAAAGACAACGCTGAGAAATCAGAAATCATAAAACTTATATGTTGTCCACAAATAACGATACAACAGAGGAATGTTAAGGGGAAAAAACACACACACAATACTCAGAAACATATCAAACATCAAAGATTAGGTGTAAACTAAAAATCCATAGAGAAACTCCAAATACCATCTCCATTCCCAACCATCTCTTCTTCTTTATCCCTCCATCACTCTTTACTTGAGCACTTGTTGCACTGCTAGTAGCAGTGGAGTTCCCTTTAATTCAAATCATGAAAAATAAATAAATAAATAAAAATAAAACCAGAAAAACATGAGCTCTTCCAACAAATATCAAAGTTGTTATATATATTTTGGGTGCACTATTTTATATTCAAGAGTGCAAAACATGGATTTTTGACAGGGGGAGGACTTTAATATCAGAAGCTCTCCACGGTTAAAAGGTAATTATATTATAGTTTAGACGTAAAGTATTTTTTTAATATATTTCTTTAGATTAAGTACTAGGGTTTCGAGTTCCAACTTCAAACTTCTATCCTAATATTATTTAATTAAATTAATATTTATTAATTTAATTACCTTGATTAGATGGTTAAAGCGTGATGTACAAACTTAGCTAGTTTTTGTACGTTTTAAATTTTGAAAACGAAAGGGAAGGTTAAAAAAAAAAAAAAAAAAAAAAAGGGATTAATTACCTGTGCTGGCTGTTGCAGGGGCAGGGCTTATCCCCTGGGTGAGCTTTTCATATCCTTCAAACAATTTAGCTTCTTGTGAATTTGGTGCTAAGTGAAGAAGTGCTGAACAGAGCAAGAACAACCCAATTAATTAATAATTAGGTTCAGAATTCAGATTAAAACAGAGAGTAAAGAGAGGACTACAACTCACAAATGCAGTCTGAGATGTTGACAGGTACATGGCATGTGCTGGGGAGGGTTGCTGCAAGAGTAGCGTTAACCTTGATGCCAAGGTTGGGGTCATCTCGGTCTTGAATCAAGATGCAGAGACACTTCTTGCTTTTGTCCACCACCTGTTTGAGCCCGCTGCAGCAGTCCGGGGTGGGGGCTTTTGATTCACCGCCCACATACGGCAGGCATGTGGCCAGCCCCACCAGCTGATTGGAACATTCAGCCCTGTCCTGTGCCAAATCCGAGGTCGCAGTACCCACCAGCATCAACAAGACGGTGATTGAAAGTGCAATAGTTTGTTGTTGCTTTGTCTCCATTTTCTTTTTCAGAGGGGAAAGGAAAAAGGCAGGGGAAGAGAGAAAAAGAATCAAGGATGGTAGAAGGAGAAGGTTCAAGGCCCTAGTCCCTTTTATGCTTTGCCTGCGACTTTATTTGAGGCGTTTGGGGATGAGGAAAAATTGGTGATGGTGTGGATTATAAATTATTTTGACACCGTAAGGTTTCACTTAAAAGCCCACAGCTGTTGTAGATAATTATTTTAGAAAAAATTAAGATAGCTTCACATTATGTTTATAGTGGTATATGATTAAAATTAAATTTTATATTATATTTTATATATTTAATAATTATAATTAAATATTTGACATGAAAATTATTAAGATATGATATGTTTTTTCTTTTATCTTAATCTAATTTATTATCACATGAATAACAAAAAGATTAAGAATTCGAACTTGACATATGGATCAAGTGGCATTATTCCCACTTGAAGATTCATTTTTCTTTCTTCAAAAGTTACGGTTTTATCGGTTTCATGGTTAAAATGTTAAAAAAAAAAAAGATTAAAGATTCTCCGTAGCTAAACATCGTGCTACTAAGAGGGTGTTTTTTTTTTTTTTTGGGTACAAAGGGAATTGAGACTTGAGAGTAAGGAGAAGGGAAAATAAGGACAAAAGAACTCGAATCCGATGGTGTGAATGGAAAGTCCAGAAAATGACCACACGAATCACACGACAAGTTTCATGTTACTAAGAGGGTTTTGGGCCATATCTACTTTTAATTTTAATAATTAGGAACATAACTTTTTCCATATGATTGGTGGTTTTCCCTATCTTAGTTTAATCCCCCCTCATCCAGTGAAAGCGCATCTTTTTTAAAGCATGCTCCATTTCAGCTGTACTGTAATTTTTTTTTTATTTTTTATAGAAGTGTTATTAAAGTAGGTTGTTAAAATTATATAAAATAATCATAAAAAATTTTAGAAACAAATTAAAAATTACTACAATTTAAAAACTTAATACTAACAAAAATCTTATTTTAAAAGTTATAAATTTGTAGTTTCTAATTAAAAACAACTTTTATAAAAATTAAAAGTAATTTTTGAGAGAAAAAAAAGTGAAAGTTAGAAAGTCTTGATATTTACATTGACTATATGTGAAATTGTTTAAATATTTTTAATAAATTTTTTATGTGTTGATTTATTAAAAATATTTAAGAATTTTTATTATCATTTTTAACATTAAAAATAACAAGAGATTCTAATTTTTACAATCCCTTTTTAAAAACCTAGAGTTGATTGGGACAAACACATGCTAACTCAAACCTTTAATCCTTCTGCAACTTTTTATAGATCAGGAGGTGTTCCCTATCAGTAAAAACACTATCATTGAAAGGAAATTTATTTTAT